GCTTACTGTAGTCCTCCCTTCTCATCAAGGCCAGCATGAGTCCTGCCTCCCCCAGCAAGCGACCCTAACCATGTCAGTGTGTATTCTCTGCTTCAACCCCCTAGTCCTTCTAAGAAGGATGTATGCATTCTTCTGGAGTGTTTTCCTGGGGAGCTTTGTCTTCCCTGTGGGCTTCCTAGGGGCAGAGATCACCTCTTCCACCTTCAGCTTCCCATGCTGTGTGGAGAGCAAGGGTGAGCACACCCTATAGCATATGACTGTCGCAAACTCTCTGTGGGCTAGGAATCCTACACATCTAGAGCTAGACTTCCACTAACCCTAGACTTCATCTTTGGAGTGTGTTTCAAAATGACAAAGACCTTCAAATTCCTTAGTTGGACATAAATTAGTCTCCAAACTGGAACTTGGTGGACAAACTATGTCATGTGAGTCATAATAGGTGTCCTGACACGCATACAAGCTGATGGCCAAGGACCCAGGTGAAGCAGTGATAAATACCACTCCCTGACAGCCACCTCAGACATGGTCTTCCTCCTGTGTATCACACAAAGTTACCTCCAGAGTCCAGGCATTCTGGTCACCATCAGTTTCCACCATCTTGCACTTTACCTGTCACCTAAGTCACCACTCATTGAGTAAAAGCAGAACTCCTTATTCAAAATGGACCACTTACTTACTCATCTAAGTGGGCAGCTGGTCTTCAGTTCAAGGAGTTTTCCCTTTGCACAGCCCCGACTCCATGTGTTTGAGAATCCTTGCCTGTTTCCGTTTGCAGACTTCCCTTGACTTGGAGGTAGACCCTTGGTCCCTGCTCTGGTGCCCCTCATGGAGCCCATATGAAAGTGGATGTCTAATGCTAGAATTCAGAGCGCCTCTTTCCCATGTAGTTCACCAGCTACTGCCTGATGGGAATGCTGGGACATGTTTAGGAAATGGCAAGTCAAGATCGCTTCTCCCGAAAGCATAGGCTTCGTCTGTAAATGTCCCTTCTACTGTATGCATTAAGCTCAGTCTGGCAGGAGAAATCAGTTGATTAGACTCCTCATCTTGAACAGCACCTGGTTATCTCTATTCTTTGTGTCCAATCTCTGACCTCGGTGTAGTTTTTAAAGTACAATCTTTTTGAGGGCTCCTTAAGTGGCTCAGATTATGTGCACTGGGCCCTACTTAACCTGAGATGTGTTTACCTCCACCGAGTCCCAGCTGATTAAGAAGGTATGAATTCTCCCTATGGCACTTTTCTCAGCAGACTGTTTGCTTAAGTGTCCAATAACTTGAGCCTTCCCAGCACTGCAAATGCCAAGGCACCCTCAAAACCCTTTCACCCAGCACCATACTGAGGCTCTCCAAGAGGGGAAAGGATCACTTAAATTGGTATTAGTTCTTCAAGCACTGCCACATACTCATGAATGCTGCGTAGGCCCTGTGCTTGATGACCCAGGCTCTTTCAGTTTTGAGGTTGAAGAAGCAAGGAGCTGTGCAAAGTTAAAAACATTGTTGAAGTTAGAAATGTTATCACCAAGATTTATCTCCTGGTAACCCTTGTCTCCTTCACCCACACTCAGATCACCTGAGATAACCAGTGCTTCCGATGGTCATTAACCAGATCCTTCCTCGGGACCAGGACAACTCTGCGGGGGCAAGCTTGATAGGCCTTGTCCACAATAATCAGGACACATGGGGTAAACCAAAAGGGATCACAGAAGGCAAAGTGGCATTTCATTGAACAGACTGATGGCAGATGTACCTCTGCTCCCAGTCTGGTTTACGTGAGGCTGGTGTGTCACCCTTCGGTAAGTTATCTAGCTTCTTCGTGAGCTTTGCAGTCACCTGTAAGATGGAGCGATGTCTACTCTGCAGGACTGTATGAGATCAGCACGGCCCAGCCCTGGTGCCGGGCATACGGTTCTCCCAATGCCTTTCTCAGTCAGGATACTTCCGTTGAATAAATAGCAAATAACTTGCTTTTTTCCTCTTCACAGTAAAATACCTAAATGAGTGTTCACTGCTGCTGCCAGGACTCACTGCCAAGTAGTCAGAATGGAAATTGCAGGGTAAAAATCATTTTTCTTTCCATTTTAAAAGCAAGGCAATGGCAAGGGGCACTGAAGACCTCTGAAGACAAATGCATTGTAAGAGTCGAGATCCTATTGCGTGTGTTCAGAGAGCCATCCACTGACTGTGATCATGTCTTTGGGGCGAACCTGGCACTGAACTGCGCTTGTGCAGTAAGTCATCACAAGCAGCAGGTTACAGTCAGCTTTAGGTTATCTGTGCTCATGCAGAATAGCAAATCCCAGGCGGTGGTAAATCTCAGAAATTCTATTTGGGCTCTGGAATGCATTTTATATGAGTGCACTTTTTTTTTCTTGGCAGACTTACCTTCCTAATTATGTTTCCCTTAGGCTATTATTAAAATTATTCTGCGTTCCCTAAGCATACACCGCTGACAGCCAGGGGAAGGCAGCCTGTAAATGACAGGGGTAAAATCTATCTGGGATTAAGTGTAGTCTTTAGGTGTAGACACACACATATACACATACACACAGAGTCTAATACTAGCACACAAGAAACGTACGAATTAAGAATAACCTGGGAAGCCAAGAAAATTGGTACAAAGACTTCCCCAGAGACCAGAGGACAAGATGATAAAACATAAAACCCTTCCCAGGTCATTATACATTTGCCTTTATCTTATAAATGCTTATTATCTTTTGTCACATTTTACCTGGCAGGATTGGCAAGATAATTTTCTTTCCATGAAGACTTGTGCTTTCCTCCCAAAATTCCCACCAGTTATTTAGGGAATGTCAAAAGTAGCCAGGCACAGTGGCATGTGCCTATAGTCCCTGCTACTTTGGAGGCTGAGGCAGGAAGATTCCTTGAGCCCAGTTCAAAGCCAGACTGGGTAACAGAGTGAGACCTAACCTCAAAAGGGAGGCAGGGTGTCAAAAGCAGGGTAAAATGTGCATTTATTTCCACACATGGACACTCAAGCTGAGAAATAGGTATCTGTAGATTGTACTAATTAATGGTAAATTCACAAATCTCTTCAAACACTGATCCATACAAGTTCAAACTTACATGAAAACGTGGAACAATTATTAGCATATTCAAAATAACTCACTGACCACTGAACCAATAAACTCACACCATAACCTGAATCTAGTTACACGTTACTAATATCCTCATCTCTATCCTGTATGTTGGTTGAGGCTGCTTCAAGCATCCAGGCTTGAGAAAATGTTGAGTACTTCATGCTAAGAAAGTGTGTGTATATTCCAGAGCACAAGAACTCCTTTGATCCATGCCCAAGCATTAACGTGGATGTCAATACGCTGTGTTCTCAAGTCCTCCCAATAGCTTTGTTCAGTGTCTTCTCCATTGGCAGTGATAGGAAAACAAACTACCACGACTAAACCCTAACACAAACTGAGAGCAGCCCAATTGCAGTGTCATAAAGCCAGGCTATACCTCATTCTAATTGTGTTTGTTTCTTTAAAAACCACCTAAACTAGGTTAAAATGAAGTAAAAATCAAATTGTGGTGCCACTAAGCAGCTGTGTCTTTGGAATAGGAATTCTAAACTTATAGATCATTATTTTCAGCATCCTCTATGGTCGGTGTATTTTTAAATCAATGCAAAGAAATATTACATAGCTTAAAATATTATCTTCATATAAAAAGACAATATTTCTATTGCTATTCATTTAACCTGGTACATTGGTTCATGAACACTTTTGTTTGCAAACAATTTGGTTCCCAAACAAAAGCATTTGGCAAAATTTATTTTTTGTTTGCAAACTCTGCATCGAGTAACAAACATGACAATGGCCATCTTTCCAAAATTGTAAAATAAATTAAGTTTGTGAACTAAGGTACCCACTGTATATGCAAAAAACAAACTGTGGGAGAAGACACATGCAAACAACTAATACATTTCCTTGGGTTAACACAGTGGGCAGCTGGATGCAGGAATGTGCATCAAACGCACTACCTTTATGTTGGAGGTTTTGGTGGGGATAGGTCTCAATATGGTGCATAAGCTGGCCTCAAACTCAGAATCATCCTGCCTCCGCCCCATGAGAAGCTGGATTACATGACCAGCTTACTATATTTTGATTTTCAAATCCTTTCAAAATACTATCTTATTAAAAACTAAAAGAGACAAGTAAAAATTATATGCTATTTGCCTTACTGGTGAATATGAATTCATGTTACATGTCATTATTCAGACATTTTTCACAGATAGAAGACTTTTAGAAAATTTATAAGTTTAGAAAATTTTAGAAAATTTAGGAGTTAAAAATTAGAAAATTGAACTTGTAAAATGCATCATAAAATGCAGAGCTGAATTTTTTTCCTATTAAGTTCTAAGGTGAAAGTATTTTCTGAGTGCTTTCCTGTTATGCAAAAAAAAGATACAAAGTTTATTTTCTTAACAGGGAGATCACACAAACTGCTCTGGATAGGAGGGATCACTACCTTATTACCCTTTAGTTATGTAAATAGACCTTCTATGAACACAAAGGGGAGGAATTTTGTGTAGCTATCTTAATTTTTGTACATATATCTTAATTTTGGTTCTGTAATCACAAATGACAATTTTTACTTCATCTAAACTGTTAAGACTGTTTCTAACACTCCAAAGTTTAAAAGGACAAGTCAATTCTTTGCAGTTCTTTTTCTTTTATCAAAATAGTAAGTGCTAATTACTACTTTTAAAATAAAACATATCTCCCAGAGCCATAAGCTTTTTTCTTCAGTTATAGAGTGGGTGAAGGGTTTGAAAGAAAATAATTTATAAATGACTTCATAAAACACAACCCCTTCAGGTGCTATTAACTTTGGAAAAGTTAGGGCTTCTCCTAACAAGGCTTTTACTCTACCTCATACTCCAAACTTATAAGGTTTTAAAATATTCAGCTTGCCTTTATTCTTTTGGGGGGGTGAGGGTAAGCTTGCTGTTGGTTAGGAGCCAAGAGTTCTACAGTCAGACATGAATGGAAAAATCTATCATTTGTTTATTTCATAATTCATGTTCAAAAGCAAGAGACAATTTAAATAATAAAAGGGTAACAGGAAAAATGCAAAGAAAGAAAACAAATCAGTAAGCATTCAGAAGAACCTTCAAGAATATTTAATTCAAAAAATGTTACTGGTTTAGAGAACTTGACTGAAAGAAAACAGCTGGGCAGAATTCAAGGTTTTAAATTAAAAACAATCTAACAAGGTCTATGGGGATAACTCTTTGAGCCATATTTTGGAGACCAGATTCATTTCTACCAAGTAAAAGTAATAGCAGTCTAAGCTAAAAAGGAAATTCCTCACAACTGAGGTAGTTACTAAGTATCAGCACATTTTCCAAGTTCTCACAAGGCAGCTTAGCTATTTACAACCTATTTTTCCTCATACATAAATGGAGTGTCTTTTCAATTTTATGTCTTCTGTGATTCATTTTTAAAAAACACTCATACACACCAGCCAGAATATGCCTATTTTATTAACATCATGCTTTAATAAATAACTGGCTACTTCTAATAAAATTAAGCCTCTGTTTACAACAGCCCCCAATATTTTATTTTGACCATTCTGCAGAATTTGGTGTAAAAAGTTGAATGAAATGTAGACCCTGAGCTATCAAGTACTTATGTTTCAATATAAAAATAGAGACTTACTCTTACAACTGAAGATTGAACAAAAACACAAACAACCTCTCTGTGGGTTTTAGGTTCTGTAGAATCTGTTGGGTTCTTAATTGCTGTTTAGAGCAGGACGAGACTTGCAGAATTTTCATTGTGTCTGAAGACTTTTGGGGACCCCTTTTAAAGTGAGCTGTTTACCTTCTCACAGTTTTACAAGCTGTCTTTTGGTAAGGGCACAAGGAAAGGGCTCCTAAGGGGGGAAGACAGTTGTCAGTCTTTGGCCTGGGACAACAGATATGGCCTTTGCCAGTTTGCCCATGTGGCTAAGGGTGACTGCTAAGAGGTGATTTTCTCAGCTCTACCTACTCCCATCCCTCCCACTTAAAAAATAACGTATGAAAAAATCTGGACACCTAGTTCTCCCCCCAGGGGGCTCCCTGGCTGGTAGTAGCACACAGCTGCAAACCACTGCAAGTCCTCTGCTTTACCGATCAAAGTGGGCCAGGCAAGATACTCGAGTTAGATACCTTACACTCCCTTAAAACCAAGCTGGCATCCGTAACACCTGCACATACACATGCACAGACTAAAACTATGCTCGAATGTTGACAGCTATTCCCTGAACCCAGGCTGTACCCCAATTCTGGCTAGCTCCCAGCCAGTTATCTTAGATGACTGGGTTTAATGACTGGATCCCTGTGGGGGCAGACCAAATCAGACTGTCAGTCGCTTTTTGCTGCAATTGGGATAAAAATTTCAAAGAGGATCAGTGTGGACCAGAAAACTGGCATACAGTGGCTTGCTAATTTACATGGTTAAAAGCAAACAAAAGGCAAAAACCAAACCTCTCTTGCCCAAGTATGAACATGGGATAACTGGACAGCCTGAATGCCTTTTATCTTTCAAAGGAGACTACTGTATCAAGAATCTTTCCATGGGCTACACTTGAACTGTAAGTGGGTTCAAGAAATGGACCTATATGTGACCTTAGCTTATGCAATTCAACTCAACCAAAACAGGCAGTCTGCAGTCTCTTCCAATCACCAGCTCAAAATAAAGTATAACCTTCTTCTTGTGTTGATGCTTGACTACAATCTGACAAGTGGCTCAGAAACCCGCTTGTGCCTTCACATTCTGTCCTAACAACAATAATAAAAATTCCAAATCACCTCTACTTCTCTCCCGATAAGGCAGCTAAAATAACGGGGATAAATGGCAATTTTCTGCTTGTTGGACTTTTTTCTTTTAATAAGATAACATGATAAATAAAACCTGCTTCTGTACAGCTATTTAATATTTCAGAAATACGTACATGTTACATGCCAAGAAAGGACCCTGGTTTTCTTGTAAGAAACAAGGTGAGATCATAATTGGAAAAAAAAGAACCCCACAAACAAAATGAGAAAAAAACAAACAATAGAGTGATAAAGTCACAAATGCACAACTAACTACAGTTCTGTACCTACACTGTTAGCCACGTTTAACATGATTCTGGAAGAGCAGGAACCAACTTAATGTACAGGTCCCCTTTGCCCCCAAAACTGAATGAAGAAACAAAGTCAGCATTTTTAAACCAGTGGCCACATAGTAAAAACTGTACATTGTTGTCCATTCATTTAAAAAGCAAAGTCACTAGGATGGTATAAAAGTGATAACCGGTGCCTTTTAGCTTTCTGATGATGAACATTTTTTCTCAAAAGTTTGAGAATTATCTCCAGTCCATCTGCATAAACAGGAACAAGATGCAGAAGACAGTGAGGAGGTAGGGCTGTGCTGCGGCACGGGCACCAGCACTGTCGGCTTTCTCATTGGCACTCTTCCCAGAGTGGTCAGTGGCATTGTACTCAAACTCCGAGGGGCACTGCTGATACTCACACCCACTTCCACTTCCTTCTCCGCTGCTTTCATCGCCTGTTTAAAAGATGCAACATTTTATTTCACTTGTTCTCATCACAAAGCAAACGAGAACAACTCATGATTCTAGAATTCAAGGGCTTACTGATATCAAAGAAGTCCACATCATTCCCATTATAAGCATTCTTCATTTTACTGGTCATAACTCGCAGAGCCATGATTTGACGAAGGATCAGAATATCCGGTTTGTCAGTGTCAACCTGGACCTCAGGGTTATTGCCCTGGTTGGCTAATCCATTTCCTGTCACTGCAAACAGGTACCTGAAGTGAGAAATCACCAGGAAAACAAACGATGATTAGTAAAACAAAGGCAAAGAAGAGAAAAATATCTAAGAATTCTGCTATATTCCAGTGTTTCTACTAAGCATGATTAAATGGTAGTGCTTTAATTTATGAAGAGTAGTCTTTTTCTTTTTTTGGTTCTGGGGATTGAACTCACAATCTTGCAGCTGCCAGGTAGGCGCTTATGCTGCTGGGCTAAATCCCCAACCCCAATTCTTTAATTTATAATGACTTCAAATTTCTCTTTTTCCTATGCATCTTATTTCTCCAGTTTTACCAGCACCTTCTTGAAAACTATCCCTTTTGTGGAAGCCAGTGACTTAAGAGCAAAGCACGCTCAGAATGGGTACACATCCAAGTCACAGAGTGGGAAAGGAAGGGGGTGTGGGGTATCAGCAAGACAGACAATGAGACCTTATGAGACCTGTGACTTATGAGGCCAAGGCCATTGGGCAAAGGCTCGCAGGCATTAAATATTTTTAAAATAATGACACTTAGAACAGACCTAATACTATACAAGATAATCACTGTTGACCTTTTGACCCAGTGTACCGTGTAGGTAGTTGGGTGCCTTCTGAACATTTCTGCAGCAAAGCTTGTTCCCAACAACATCTAGCAGCTTCCCGGCATCTACTGTGAAGGGCTTTCCGATGATGCCCAGAATGACCTTCTCTCCAGGTCTCTCGGGTATGCAGGCACGGACAGCCCGCAAACGCACTGAAAGGTGGCTAACCTGCTCTTGCCCTTCCCGTTCCAGCAGTCATCCTCATTGCCATTTCCTGCGGCCATCCTCTCATCATTGCAAACGTTGCTGGGGAGTGAGGACCAGAACTTCTTGGCCTGTTTCAGTTTCTCCTTGACATCAGTAACCTAATTAAGAAACATTAAAAAGATGGGTACAGAACAACACAAAATAACCTACGCATGTACCCTTTGATCATCTCAAAATAGCTCCGAAGGCACAGGCCACTCATTTTCCACTGCAGCCAAGAAGAAAAATATGCAAGTACAGAATCAAAGGAAATAAGAGTTGAAATGCAAACTCTGAAGGAGTCGCCTTGATCCTTCGCCCACCTATCACACTGTTAACTACCCCCTGAGGCCTACCAGGCCCCGGAGACACAGCCATGAGACACAGTCACTTCACCCGTGGTTTCTGTAGTCTGGATCAAACCTTACGTATGAGCCAGTCTGGGAAACTTCCTTGTCAGTGCTCTGCCTTTCCACCTACGAGTGTCTTTCATGCCCCCTTGTCCTATGCTCCCTCCTATCACTGTATTAAGATTCTCTTTGAGTTTTATAGCACATTGCTGTGTAGTAAGCAACCTGACTATATTCTATTACTCTTCTCCCATCCTAACATTTATTATTCACCACTTTATGTTAGGAACCCTGGACCATCTGCTTCTTCCCCTTTGCTGGGGCCTTTTGGGACCAAGGACCCATCTTATTCCTGTGAGACTCCCCAACAACAAGCACACAGTAGATAGCCAGTAACCACAGAGTGCCTGTAAAGGGGAGCTCTTGAGATGAGACTTACTATATTCATTTCCTTAACCAAATAAGGAACATTCTGAGTTAGAAATGAGAGAAGGACGTTTACTACTATTGACATAAATTTGCTTGCAAAGTTACACCTGAAAGACACAAGCTTGTAAGCTTGCCAATTAAAAATTCATTTTGAGCTCACAATTTCAGCTCTTTGTTTTAAACACAGCCCTTCCTGTCAAAGTGCTCACCAGTCGGTCCAAACTCGTGCCAGCTGCTGTGGTTGGGCGCTCCTCAGGATGGTATGGTCGGAAGCGAGCACTGAAGGCACTCTCAGAGATGGAACGCGAAATGCGTCCAGCGGGGAGGGGCTTAGGGGGGCCACATCCCTGGAAAACCTGTATTAGAGTAAGCATGGTTGGATTAGGACATCACAGGGCAAGTCAGAGGAGGCCACCAGGTCTCCTATCCCACCTTCATTACCTTCTGGGATACTTGCACACTATTTTCTTGCATATTCATAATCGCATCAGAAATCTTCACATCGATGGGATCCATGACAGACTCGATGTTAAATGGACCTTCTAGCCTCTCCGCCACCATCAGCATGGCATCTAATATAAGGCACAGGGAAAAACAAAACAGCATGAGACGTAAATCATTATTTCAGCCTTGGATAGTTAATCAGTTTTATTTTACTGCCTTTATTTCCTGTGATGAGTTAAGGATCATAATTAATTCATGTTTTTCTACCTAGTTCCATGACAATAAACTGCATTCCATCACTGTATGTATCACTAGCTCTCTAAAGTATTGAAATGGCCAGGCTAACAATCCTCACTATAGCAATGAGACCCAATCAGGAATCTCTAGATTATTCCCACCATCCTGATTATTCCTTCCTTCTTTTGTCAAATGCTGTTACTGTAAGGCTTTGGCCTAGCATCCAGGTGAGAAACCTATGGTTAGAGGCAAAATAATATGTTATTTCTCCCAGAGATTTTCCTACAAACTATTCTTTTCATTTCAGATTCTATTTGCAAGAGTCAATCAAGGCAAAGTTTAAATCCTAGTGTACCAATTCCAGTCTTTTTTTTCCCCTTCATCAAACCTTTTAGATCCCTGAATGAACACTTGGCAAATACAAATGAAAGTGTCCTAGGAATGCTAATGACTTTTCAAATAATGAAGCTTTGAATAATGCAATTCTATGTTAGGATAAACTTCCATCTCAAACATAAGAGCTTCAATTTTATTTTAAAATAAAACATATAACTCTATTCCAGTGAAAAGACAACAACATAAGACAGTACATACTAATTGTGTGCTTACAGCACATATCTTCTCTAATGACTCACAAATCTCTTTGGGACTTTGGAGGACACTGGCATTTTCTAAGCACTGAAGCCTTTTAGATTTAAAATGTCACCCACAGAGCTCATGAGTTCAGAGGATGGGTCTTTTGGGGGGCGATTGGGTCATGAATGGTTTATGGCATTATGATGCCAGCTGGTGGAAACTTAGCAGATAGAGCCTAGATGAAGGGAATGAGTGAAGTGGTCATGACCCCGCAGACTATACCTTGCCGCAGCCCCTTCTTTGGTTGTTTCGTGGCTGCAATGAGATTAACAGCTTCTTCTACCATACCTTCTACCACGATGTTTCTTGCCATAGGCCTAAAAGCACCAGAGCTGGCTAACTATGGACTGAAGTCTCTGAAACCGTAAGCCAAAATCAATCTTTCCTCCTTTAACTTGACTTTCACAGGTATTGTGTCACAGTAACAAAAAGAGAACACCAACCCTTTAACAAAGGGATGTTTGCCTTCTACACATGTTTGTAGGAATTATGAGGGTATTTTTGCGTTTTGTGCAAAATTAGGACTTGCATGAAACCTCAAAGGATGTTTCATCAGTCAATGACAAACAGTGCATTTTCTAACTTGTTTTTCCCTTTGTACTCTACTGCTTAATGCATGGCAAGAAAAAAGAAGCAACCATTATCTTTGCCCACCTTCATTTAATCCAAGGGCAAATATTAGAAAGTAGCGTTACTTTCCAGAAGATCTTATGTTCATCTCCACTGCAAAGCTCAGTTGAGCATCTACCTAAGCTTTCTAGTTAAAAAGATTTTAAGTATCGATATATCAATGAAATCAAATTTGGTCATCAACATTTCACCTTCAGCCTAAAACAAATACTATACAGCATTTTAAAAAGCATCGTCATTTCTCTAAACTTCAATTCTGATGTGATTAAAAAATAAAACAAATACATTTCCATGAAATACAATTTTTGAAAGGAATAACAAAGTTTGTGACTGCTGTGGTAAGCGCCAATAAAGTGATGCTTCTAACCTCTAAGCAAAAGCTGACAGCATGAATATACCATTGTACTACAGGAGAGGAAAAAAATGCTTTTGATGTGCTAGCAAAAGGAGACTTTTGTAAACAAGTGGAACACAACTTAAATGTTTTCATCATTGTCAAAGCATCAGGACTGCCCTGTACAGAAAGTATATTCCTTCGTAATCCAAGAAGAATTGCTGGCTCCAAATAAAAATATTATGAATAGACAGATAATAAACATCCAAAATGCAGAGGTTTAAACAAGAAAACACAGTGCACTTTGTAACCACTTATTCCCCTAGTGGTGAGGAAAGGGCAGATCACAAATGTGTTTGTGAAAGACTGAAAAGAAACATAAACCCCAATTCTTCTGGCTGTTTGGTGTCTTTGTAAACTCTGAGGCAGGCCGGCCATGCACAAGGGCCTGGGAATGGAGAGTGAAGCTTGGCTTTGTTGGGGCCGGTGCCATGGCGTTGTGTGCTGTGCAGCTGAAGAATGCAACTAGGGATAGTCTGCCCGCAGCCCACAAGCCAGGAGCCAAGGCTGCTTCTAACCGCTGCGGGAAGGAAGCCATGGTTGGCTATCAATCGGCTCTTCTGTAGCAGTAACCAGCCCTAAGAAGTCACAACAGAAACTCAAAGAAGTTTGGTTTGGAGTTTTGGGTTTCTTCATGCTGCTATAGGCCACAGGTGTCTTGTCTGCAGGATACCCAAGAGGCTCCTGCCACGAACTGGCTGGTGTCTGACAGCAACCCCAATACTAAGTTCCTACCAGCAGCAATATATGACATTAATAGGGCAGAGTTGAGCAAGCATAAATACAGGTACAGCATGTGATGGAGAATGAGCCACCCCTAAGAGGCTTTTCTAGAAACCAACTCTGTGGGGTGTGTGTGTGTGTGTGTGTGTGTGTGTGTTCTCTTGAGCTAAAGGTTATTAAAGTGAATCCCAAAGTGTTTCAATGTTTTGGATTCATCCAAATAAAAGGTGACATTTACCAAAGGGTCACAATTCATGCCAGTACACAGATGCAGTAACCAGGACAGAGAAGGCAGGGAAGGGAGAAGGCAGATTTGGAGAATCTCTCCTTCATTTTCCAAAGGGTCTAGTCCAATGGCACAGTTGCAGCACTTAGGGTACTGCATTGAGCACCTCTCCGCCAGTCCCCAGCAACAAAGAATCCCCTCCCCACTGGAAAAAGCAATTCCTTTTGCATTGTGCGGCCAATAATCAGAAACTCACATCTTTAGCCTCCTGACATGACGGGAAGAACAAAAGGCAGTTTCTCGACTTAACCCCAAGATCTGATTTTAGAAGGGGCAAAAACAGCCCTTGATCATTCATTAACTGCAGTCATTTAAAGGGGAAAGACAAATTCTTTGCAGAGGAGAAAAAAGACAAGGAATAACAGAGAATTTACAGCAGAGGCACGTAAATTGGTACTGAATTCTATAACCACAGAGCAGATTAATTAAGCTCTTGTGAAAAATTCATGAAAAAGCACTGGAGATTAACAATGTCTATTACTCCTGGCCTTTTAGATCAGCTTATTAGAAATAAAGACAAGTGCACCCATTAAAAATAAAATTTAGATACAATTTCATGCCTCATCTCTCTCAAAAATTATCATTTAAAATAATTGGGAAAATTGATTCAAAAATCCTATCAATTTCCACTTGGGTTTCTTTTTGTTTCCTCAAAGATCATATATACGATTTTTTAAAACACACTACAAGAATAGCAACAGCAATTTAAGGCCTCCTTGTTTTAGAGTAACTGGCTCAAAACATTAATTAAGCAAGCCAGGGTATGGTTCTGATTTTACAGGGATCCATAAATTCTAGGAAAAACATGTAGAATATATACTTTAAAGGGCTGAGGATGTAGTTCAGTGGCAGAGCACTCCTTCACAAGGTTCTATCTTCCACACTAGAAAAAAACCCCGTATTTTAATAAAAGGTTATGAGGACTTCAGTGACAGCTGCTGCTGGACATGTCAGAAGAATGGCATAATGTAAGAGAAATGATACTCTGCACTTTAAATGTCGACATAAGAAAAGTCAGCAAAGCTGGGCTACTTACTATATACCTTTTGTACTGAATGGTGACTTCTAGTCCTTTGCCTGGAGAAAAAATTCATTATAGTGAATAATAAATTGCAAATTTGACATTTGGGTATGGGGACAAGGGCGGAATGGGGGAGTATCAACTTTAGATATAGAGACGCCGTGGGCTTTTATTTCTCGAGAAATATTTTGAAGCAACAATTTCTCCCCTGGCTTCATTCTGGGCATGATGTTCCATTCGTCCCTGTGTGTCTTTGCTGGTCTCATGCCTTCGCTTTCATGGGCTTCTGCTTTTCTATGTGCAAAGGATTTTTTTCAGGTCTTCTAGCTTTGAGCTTTTTAGTCTACAATTGTCCTGAAGTGCTTAATATTCACTGTTAGTGTTTTCAAGAATTTGTTGGAGCCAATTTATTGATGCAATTTCAGAGTTAATATGATTAGCTCTCCTGCAGACTAAAAAGCAACCTCTCCCCGCAAAAAAAAAAAAAAAAAAAAAAAACAAGCCAGCAAACTTCATGCATGTTCCCATAATGTAGACAAATAATTGAAAAATAGGTTCCTATAAGGATACTCGAATTCTGCAATTATGCAAATGTGCGTGGGGGACAGGAAAAATGAGAGTTTGTTTTTGTGAGCTGTATTTGTGTGAGGTCCCCCTGACACACAGCATTAGAGGTTCAACACTGGGCACTATGTTTCAGGACTAACATGAGCACTAAGTAGGCACTGAGGGACTTAGCTGATGACCGGATGTTTGAATTATGCTTATTTGTCTCTCCAAATCATAAAACTCAGTGCTATCTGGATTCTAGTTTCCTTGGTAGAAAGTATATGCAGAAATCCTTATTTCTCAAATTGTCAGGGCAAAAGTTCTTTCATACTCCCCAGGGCAGTCTATTGCTAAATCTCCTAGAAATAAAACCACTGAATTTCTATAATCAGATTTTTGCTGATCCAAAAAATAAATGGTATCTGAAACGTCTGAACACAGAACTTTTTTTCAGCACTAAGGTTTGAACCCAGGGCCTCCACACTGAGTTACAATACCAGACTTTTCAATTTTCATTGTTTTTAAACAGAGTCTCACTAGGTTACTAAATGGTCCAGGCTTGGCTCCAACTTGCAATCCTCCTGCCTCAGCCTCCTAAACTGCAGGTATGTAGACAGGACTATCCTAAAAAGCCATTCTCACAGTTCTATGGGGACTGTACTTCACCACTGACATGACTACAAAGCTATGATATGTATTTTTTTTTTCTTTTTTCCGGTACCGAGGATTGAACTCACGACCGCCTGCTTGCAAGGCAGGTGCTTATGCCGCTGAGCTAAATCCCCAGCCCAAAGCTATGATATATAACATCAAAAATGCACTTTCTCATTATTGAAAGTTGGTAGTCCCAAAACCTTATGTCTTCAGAAATGCTACCATTAGATCAAGCAAGCATTTACTTCTAGTAATAATTTTACTATCTTCAAAGTATTGAGCACAGCATAACTAAGATACTGGTAAACGCTAAATACTAACCATAGTAGAGATATTTCATAGTTGGCAAATACAGTGTTCTTCGCAGAAGCAGAGACATTTCAAGGAACACAAACACAAGTTGCCAACACTTGCTCACCTATGAAATTGTTCCATTCAAAGTCGAGATCCCCCTGGTTGGCCAAACAGCCTCTCATGATGTTGGAGCAGTAGTTGTAACATGGCTTCACTGTCACAAGACCCCGGCAGTGGGAACAGTAGATCATCTTCAACAAGGCATGGGTACACTGGGCCGTGGGGTTCACCTAATATGTGAGACAAGAAAAGACAGCAGGATTAGGGCTAAAGATACACAGAAATGACAAACCTCTATCCAGCTACTGCCACTAGCAGAGGTGAGTAGATCAAGATTAGATAATAGAAGACACTTGGGAGACAAAGAGGTGGGAATGAACATCACAGAACCTAAGCCACTCAGCAGCCCAACTATTTACATAAAAGATGGCCAAAATTTCTGTATGTTTCATCAATTTTTACAAGAACTATAAAAAATGACAATTTTATCAAATTTATTCAATATAAAAATCAGCTGGTTGAACTGATACCTCCTCATGCAACACTTAGGATAGTACATAAATATACTACCCAAGTGATGCTCAGGGAAACCAGTAAGTCGTAAAACAGCCAAGTTGCAATGCCCTTTGTTTGTCTGTCTCTCCATCTCTCTCTCTCTCTGTCTGTCTGTCTTTGTCTTTCCATTGCCATTTTAATTGCTCAGTTACTTCAGGTACTTTTACAAATATGCTTTCCGGATCAGCCAGGAGACCTTGGAGGCTAGAGGCTGGATGCTATTTTCACCCACCTCCATGCATGGCCCGCCCTGGCCCTTAAAATCTATGTGTTCATCTTTGCCAGACTGGAACACAGGCACTTCTCTTTGTCAAACACACTGACTACAAAACCGCCCTTTAAAACTGATTCCCAGATCCAATCAAGGTTTAAAAGAGTACTTGTGTTACTCTGCCTTACACCAAGAGTTTGTAGAAGGCAAAATGAATGTGTTCTACAGGGCAGAATATGGGTAACTTTAAACTTGGGGGTATGTATAGGCCTTCAGATTTTGGGGAGCAGAGCATGGAGGACTCAGGAAACACCTGATGGAAGAGGTGAGGCATGTGTTAAATTTTGAACATGAGATTGGATTTAAGTGGAGAAATAAAGGGAGATCATCCCAGGTAGCATCAATGAAACAAACAAAATCAGCGAGATGATGTACTAGAGCATTTCAGCGTGGGGTTGAGGAACCTGGGAAAATAATGTCAGATGCACCAGAGTGTGCGCACGGCCAAGACATATCAGGCAGAAACTGCGATGTATGGCAGCACACACAGGGCTCCTAAACTCTGTGAGGGAGGGGAACTGCGAGGATGAGCACAGCACTGAAGTCACACTAGGCTGACCATCCGCTGCAGAGAAACAGGTCTCAGTTTCATCCTTCACATTCCGTAAGGTGAAAAACTGCTTTGGGCTGTCCTGTCGATCATAGCTGTCAATGCTTAGAAAGGCTCAAGGCCAGGGGTCACATAATGCAACTAACTGCCCTGTCCAGTCTTATTTTCCCTGACCCACTCTCCTCTTGTGTCTGTCTCAGAGGATTAGTGCATTTATCCCTATCAGTATCAACCAGCTCTGTACCCAGACTTTCAGAAGCAAACACCACCTCAGGGAATAGATGTGGGGATGGAGAGCACACAGCAATATACTTCACCTATTCCAGTGTGTTACTTTGGATATCACTTATCAACAATGTCCTCAGGAATTGGAACAGGGGATTAGTACTATCAGTAGAAAAACTTAGCATTGCCAGGCTCCTATCTGGTCTGTACACACCCCTCCCTCTCACTTATCCCAACAAAACTCCAGCCTACAAGGGGAAAACACACAAGAAGAAGATGGTATACACTAAAGTCAATATTCCCTACAAAGAATTGGGATTTTTCCACAGTTTTAACCAGTCCCAAATGTTTTCCTAGGCATTAAATTAGCCCCTTTAACTACGTATTAATGCACAGTAAAATCTTGGCTAACCAATACCCTCAAGGAATGGCCCTCTGGATAACTAGATTTTCTGGATAGCTAAAAGTTCATTCCTTTAAAGTCACAGATTGTTAAGACTTTGATACTTATCCAGTTCTCATTTTCCAGATGAGCAAACAGGCCTCAAGAAGGGAAGGGGCTTGAGAATCACAGGATCACAGAAGTCTTAAGAGCTGGAAGGAGTCATAGAGATGGCTGAGTGCTGCTCTCACGTTTAAGAGATAAGAAACTGAAGCCAGAGGGATTAAGCAACTTGCTGACAGTCACCCTGCTACATTTGATTCCAGTACTGCACATTATCCAACATGTGTGACAAAAAGATTTCCCAGATGCATCACATTTCTCTGCCTTCTTAAGGCAGGCAACTCTATCCTCAGGTGTGTTTTATTTTAGTTGGGTCCCCCACTGATGAGACTGTTAAATGGCTGGATTTTAGAGAGGTAATGAGTTACATATATGACTTTGAAAAAAACCATAGAACAGCACTCGTATTGTTGAATATTATGCTTCAGAACAATGTCCTCATAAGAAGAAACATCAAAAGTTAAAGTGTCAACAAATTGTTACTGACCACTTATTATGTGCCAGGAATTATTCTGACATTCATTTATATTAGGTAGTAGGGCAGGTAAGAGTATCTGTCTTAGGATATAGAATCTGTTCCACAAAACACAAATCCCAAAGTGAGATGGGCCTTTAGAAAATGAGAAAAAATTTAAATAATTATATTAAGCTGCGCATGGTAGCATACGCCTATAATCCTAGCACTCCGGAGGCTGAGGCAGGAGGATCCTTGTAAGTTTGAGACCAGCCTGGGCTACAAAGTGAGCTCAAGGTCAGCCTGAACTACAAAGCTAGACTCTATCTCAAAAAGACAGAAAAGAGGATAGTTATATTCAAGAAACATTTATTCAATCAGTCCTTTCCCATTGTCTTTTGAAAAATAACTCTAGAAAGCAGTGTACTTGATTCTTAAACTGCAAGTCAGATGATCATTTATGCAGTAGACCTGATGGAGGCTCAAGTTCTAAATCAAAGACCAAATGAAATGACTCAGTAGAATTTTATTAAAGAAGATTATGAAGCTGGGTTTGGCAGAGTGTTCCCATTTCATTCTTTGGTTAAGTACTGTCTCATGCTCTGCACGTGATTTGTTGTGTAACTACTCAAAAAGATCACAAGCAACTTGGCGATAACATGCTTATGGGAACATTAAATAATACCAGAACTGGAAAAAAAGATGGAGAAGTTATATGAGAACTGGGACATGCAAGGGCATATAAAATACCAGAGTTAGAGAAAAATGTCTTTCGTCTCACAGCCATAACCAGACCACCATGCACTAGTTCACATGAAGGGAATTCAGAACTTGGGAAGCAAAACTCTCACGTGTGATGAGGCCCTCCTATAAAGGGAAGGATTTTAAAATAGTCATGAGACCTAAAGAAACAAGAATAGCTTGCAAGGCCTCATCCCCCCAGAGAGTGTCAGTAATTCCAGGGCTTGGGGCCCCACCCTCCCTGACCTGTCTTAGTTCAGGATGGTGAACACCAAGTGTCAAAGATCAGCTCTACCTTGTGACTCCTCAAGACAACCCCTACCCCCAGTGTATAAGCCAAATGGCTGCCTCGCTTCCGGAACCTCTAGGGGCTTCTTACTAAGAAGCAATGTAGGCTGGTAAAAGAGACAGTGATGTGCCGACCATTCAGGACACAAAGCGCCAACCAAGGGCATAAGCTAATGCAATTTCAATTCCCAAGTGTGGTTTCTATCCCAAGCCCAAGGTTTCCTTGATTCAGTGGTGGCTCTACCTGTCACACAATGATATGCCGCACACTTCTGGGTGTTCATGTACCAGTTCCTAATTGTCTCTCCATACTCTCATAAGCAAATATAGCCGCATTATAAGCAAATTTAACAGTGGACCAAGTCATACTTTGTTCCAGGACTTTATTTTGAATAGAAATTTAAGTTCATTAACATTCTATTCCCTGTAACCATCCAAATCAATTTCTTCCATCAAGTCCCCCAGAATGTATTTACTGAAGTAGATTTGACTCTGAAGGACCAAAGACCAAGTAGTAGATGGTACCGCACAGGGATTGACAAAAAAGGGTCACTACACTGCAGGGTTTTCCTTTTACCCTCATGGTATAAGGAGCCACTTAAAATGCTATATTTGACTGTTACTTTGGGGCACATTTCTTGATGAATATTTGACATGTTTTTCTTTTACTTAGAAAGGTCTGTTGGGCTCAGATGCCAGTGACTTATACAATCCTTGGGACCGGGGTAAAAACCGGTGAAGGTGGTTTAAGATCGCCTTTCACAAAAGTCACATTTTTCAGATGTACAGATTTAATAGTTATTTCTCAAAATCATATGATGAAAGAATAGAACAAGGGAATCTTTATATTTCTCCCTTCCTTCTTTGAAAAAAATAGTTTAATGCTCTCAAAAGCAATATCCATGTTTAGCTTTCACAGTTTTCTGACTGTAAGGGTCTTGATGTAAAGATTCAGCTTCATAACAGGAGTTACTATTGATAGTTTTACTGGATTTTATTGACTTACACGATACATTTATAGACTACTTAGTATGTCAGGTTCTATTCCACAAACCATAACACATATTAACTCAAAGGCAAGCTTTATTATCTCATTGTACACATGAAGTAGAGGGAAGCCCCAAGTAGTTAAGGGACTCATACCAAGACTTCTAGTAAATGTTCAGGCTAACATGTGATCCTAAGCAGTCTGCTTCCAGCGTATGGGTATCTGACATCTTTGCTATCTTACTAGTGGTGCTGGGGGTGGGGAGTGTGGAGGGGCACTGGGGATTGAACCTGGGGCCCTGCACATGCTAGGTAAAATTCTGTACTGCTGGGCCATGCCCCCAGACCCCTTGATGTGTGTCAAAATGGCTTTCCTGAGTCACGGACTATAGGAAACATGAGGACAGCAGGTGGGTAGGTTGGTCCTTCTCCACAGTTCCCAGGGCTAGTACATTCTCTCCACACACAATGAACACCCAGCTGCATGCTTTCTAGTGACAATTTGAAGTTTGTAAAGTTTATTGACCAAATAAATCAGTTTCTAAGTTGGAAGGTAATTTAGGACACAAGTGTTCTACATAGAGCAATCCTCCCTGGATGGGGAAGGCATATTATTGTTTAATAAAACAGTGATTTACTGAGTATGAGTGCCAC